ATGACTACACCTGAGTCTACTTTCCAAACTGGGAATCCACTCACATTACTCCCTCTCTCTACCTGAGATCCTTTAATAATGTGTGAGAGTTTTTGGATGAGACACAGAGTCCTTGACTCTGTGGGTTCACAGGTTTCACAGGACACCTGTCCTGCAGCCTCATCATGCCCAACACCTAGCACCCCCTCTCCTAATACCTAGCACACGACAGACCCCCACCCCCGAAAATACCTGTTGAGTGAAAGGAAATATTTCTTAGGTTTTCTACTCTGAAGTTGAGGATCAACAGACCTCCACTCCTAGAGTTTTTGTGCAGACATTTTAAATGAGAACCAGAGGGTATGGATGCTGGTGGTCAGCTGGCTCCTCACTCTCCCACACACTGGCAAAATGACCAGCTTATGGGGCCTCCCCGGTGGCGCAGCGGTTGAGCGCTGGGTTGCGAAGCTGCCCGCAGCCTCTGTGGCGCCGGTTCGATCCCCGGCTGCTCCCCGGCCACCAGAGGAGGATCCCACATGGCGCGCAGACCTCTCCTGCCGCCCGCTGCTCCCCTCAGCAGTGTACTTTGGTCCTTCTGCCTGCTCTGCTCCCCGCTCTGGCTCTGGTGAATTCTCTCACCCTCCCACGCTTCTGACTGTACCCAGTGCATGTACAAACAAACAAACAAACAAACAAATAAATAAATAAAAACACATGCCGCTTAAGAAAATAAATAAAAATAAATAAATAAATAAATAAATAAATAAATAAATAAATAAATTAAAAAATGACCAGCTTATGCATGTAGAGATGCTATGGGTCTCGCAAAAGAAAGAAGCCCAGGTAGTAAATTAGAAGGTACCCAATTGCATTGTGGTTAACTCTCTCACCTAACTGGTTTCTAGTCACCCAAGTCTGAAAACCAACTTGGAATTTCCCCAGAGTAAAGCTCCTCTCCTGTAGGAGAGATCTACAGTGGCTCCCTAAGGTGCCACCCCTGACTCACTATCATGGTTGCCTTTAGCCTGGGGGAGAATGGTGGGGCACAGCAAGGAGTTCATTCATTCAGCAATTATTTATGGAGTACTTATCAGGTACTAATGCTTATTTTGGGATTGGAAGGGATCTTGGAGATGGAGTAGTCTACTTCCTTCATTTTAGAGTTGAGGAAACTGTTCCCTGGTCTAGTTGTACTTTCAGTGGCCATTCTAGTACAGTCTAGTGAGACAGGTTGGTAGAGTCTCAGGAAACAAGTTAAAATAGTTTTCTTAAGGAAGATAAGGCTGCTAAACAGTTGAATACAAACCTAAAAGCCACTGTCCTGTCTTTCTCTTACCAGTCTGACTCTCACACTGAATACTCAACACCCAGTGCACTTTGCTTCCTTCCATTTATTCTCTAGATCCTGGGCTTGCATGTGCAGTTTCCTAAGCCCAGAAAGATCTCCACTTTCTGTCTTCATCAGTTCTGACTGTTGTACTTAAACACCACAGACTCAGCGGCTAAATAGCAGAAAATTGTTGTCCACAATTCTAGAGGTTGCAAGTCCAAGATCAGGTGGCAGCATAGTCAGATAAGAGCCTTTTGCCAGGTCACCAACTTTTCCTTGTATCATCACATGGCAAAAGGGACTAGAAAGCTCTGTGGGGTCTCTTTTATAAGGGCACTAATCCCATTCAATCCTATTTACGAAGGCTCTATCCTCATGATGTTATCATCTCCCAAAGCCCCATCTCTAAATACCATCATCTTTTGGACTCCATATTTCAACATGTGAATTTGGAGAGGACACAAACATTCAGACCATAGCATCCTCCATCTCTGGCTAGCTCACTTTGTCAATTTCTAGAAATATCTCTTAGGAGACTTTTTCTAGACTAGGTGAGGGTCTCCCTGCTGCATGCTCCTGTTGCCCGTCTTCTCTCCATATCCCAGCTCTCAGGTACGTACTTAGTAGTTTTCTTCCCTGAGAAAGTTTAAACTCTGTCCAGATAGAAATGACACCTGTGTTCCCAGCACCTAACACAGTATGTCCAGCACATTGAAGGCATGTGGTAAATACTTGTGAAGGATGAGAATAAACAAAGAGCTTAAGGAAGTGCCTAGACTCAAATCCAGAGATCAGAGTGAGGACAACCTGGATTAGGAAACATCACTTAAAATGGATGAGGCAGGGGCCTCCCTGGTGGCACAAGGGGTTAAGCGTCAGCACTATGAAGCAATCTGCAGCAATCTGCACCTCCCAGCCAGGGAGGTGACCCACATGGCACAGCAGACCTCTCCTGACTCGCCCACTGTATTTCAGTAGATCTGCCTGTTCTGCTCCCCATTCTGTCTCTGGTGAATCCTCTCACCCGCTCCCTCGCACTTCTGGCCTGTACTCCAGTTCTTGTATGCATAAATAAATAAATCTTTTTTTTTAAAAAAAATGAATGAGAGCAATCTCAGGATGCAGGAAGAAAGCTGGTTTCCTCTAAAGAAAGATCCTCTTCCTTTCACACTTAAAGAGCCAGGTCCACAGACTTAATGATTGGGGGCTGCAATTTTTGAACAGAAGAGTGAGTTTTAGGATAGGGTGCAGGCCTTTAGGGCCGACACTGAGCAGCCCTGCATGTTGACACAGACTATGCTCCCCACCCCACCCATTTTGTTCCAGCACCCTGGGAACCTAGACCTGTTCTCCATGCTTCAGAGAACCTTCTTGAAGGCAAGTGAAGGGTTCTTCAGACTTCCTGCTAACCAGGTGGATGCTGCCTTTCTGAAAGGTCAAGGACACCTTATCTGCTGAGCCAGGCCTGGCTGAACCCCACCTTGCTCCCCCATCCAGAGATCAGCAGGCTTTCCCAACAAAGGTACAGTGGGGTCCTCAGGTTCTTTGTCATCTGGGAAACATATATTTCAACTAAAGTTAACTAGGGCCTCACTAAAAACATAACCCATCATTGCAGGACAGGGAAGGCAGACTGAGTCATCCCAGGAAGGCAGAGACTCTTCAATTAGGGGAATAGCTCAGCACATATGCATGGCCTGGTGGCTATGGAGTGTCTCTCAGACACAACCTTATGTAAATAAATACTGACTGAAATTCACTTCGAATTGCATTGTGAACATTTACTCATATGGGTGCTATCACTGTACTATTAATTACAAACTCACTTTATTTATTTATTTATTTTTTAAAGATTTATTTATTTATACAAGCACTGGGTACAGTCAGAAGTGCGGGAGGGTGAGAGAATTCACCAGAGCCAGAGCAGGGAGCAGAGCAGGCAGAAGGGCCGAAGTACACTGCCGAGGGGAGCAGCGGGCGGCAGGAGAGGTCTGCACGCCATGTGGGACCCTCCTCCGGTGGCCGGGGAGCAGCCGGGGATCGAACCGGCGCTGCAAAGGCTGCGGGCAGCTTCGCTCAACCGCTGCGCCACCGGGGAGGCCCACAAACTCACTTTAAATGAGAAAATGGGCAACATTCAAAAGTATCAGTGGCATAATGCTGTGAATTATGTGCATCTGTGGCAGTGGGGTGGGCATGTGACATTGGGGGCATTGCAGCCCCCAATCATGTAAGGAGAAGGGATAGCATGTGTGAGGAAGGGCCGTGAGAAGTTCCTAGAAATACTGCTCCCATCATATAATCAGATCTTGATAATCATAGTGATGGGGAGGACAAAGACAAGGCATGAAAAACCTAAGATCATGGAGAATTAAAACCAATAAAAAATGGTCATCTGGCTTTGGCATACCATCAAATGTAGATGCAATTAGACACACGCTCCATCTTTCTGTATCCCTGATGTCCAGATCCCACTGTGCTGACTGGAGCAGCTGGGCAGGCAGTCTATTAGCAAGCCATAAGATGCGTAAATCAATTGCTGAGACTAAAGAGCATCCCAAATTAGTGAAACATTTTCTCACAGGCTGCCCAGTTAGAGAGACACAGCCCCTGTGCCATCAGCTCACCTGCCCACATGAATGGATGATATAAAAGGGTGGTCACGACTAGGTCAGTGATCAGGGAACTTGGGCCTATAACCAAAAGGACTAACAGGATGGGGATGATAAATTATAATCTTTCCCCATCATTTCTGATGCCTACTCTCAAAATGACTATTTTTTTAAGTCTTTATCTTGATCTACATGGGAACAGGATTGCAGGGAAGAAAACAGTCTTCTTTCTGGGAGGAGGGTATCCAAACCCAAACCCTCTCTGTGGAGATCTCCTCCCTATTCCTGGGCCTATCCTGAGCATTATCCCCCACTCAGGTCTCGAACCTAGTCCTTACCCTTCTGAGGGTCATACCTCTCACCTGCTGAGCACTGGGGCTCCTTGGGTGACATTCTTGAGTGAAGGGGTAAGGGAGGTCTGGGAGCATATATTTTTTTCCTTCTCAATTAATGAAGACAGGAGTTGGGACCAGCTGCAGGGAAATAATGTACTCAGAATCTCACTGTCCACCTCATCACCTGCTGCTAGAGTATCAGAAATGGGGGTGGTTTCTCAGGACCCTCTTCCAGAGGGTCACAGAGGAGGGTTTGAACCCATTACTTAAGTGCTGGTGCCCTTAAGCCCTTCACTGACTCTGAGTTGCAGTTTCCTCACAGTGAATTGGGGATTACACAGGGTGGAGAAAAGGAAAGTGTGCCTAAATGTGCCTGACTTGTGGGAAGTCCCCTGTCGGTAAGGTGTCCACCGTATAGTTATTCTTGTGTAGTGCCCTCTGGCTACCATTTGTCTGCCAGACTGGGAACAGGGAAGAAAGAGTCAAGAATTAGGGCTCTGTCCCACCTTAAAATGAAGGTCAGGCAGACTGGAAATAGGAAAAGCCATCTCAGGGAGTAGGGGAAAAGGCTGGGTGGCAAGTATGGGCAGCACCAGGGCTGAAATCCCCAAGAGAGAACTTTACCCACACCCGCTTGGGGCCCCATGAAAGCTGGCAAGGCACAGGCTATCTGTAGGTGAGCACACCCCACCTAGCAAGCGCCTGTGCCATGCCCCTCATGTCTCCAGACCTCAGAACACTCACTGGCACAGGTCTTCCCATCGCTGCGGAGCACATGTCCCTCGGGACACTGACAGGCGAAGGATCGGTCAGTATTGACGCAGGCATATTCGCAACCATGGTCGCTCAGCAAGCAATAGTCCACTCCTGCAAAACCCAAGAGCCAGGTGAGGTCTCGGCGACACTCTGCTCCTGAACATGGGAATCAAGCAGTCATCTTGCTCTGTCCCCCTGGCCCCGCCCCTGGAAGGCATGCAATCTCCAGTGGACTCCTGCCCTCTCCCAGAAGTAGAGAAAGGGGTAGAGGAAAGGGGATTGCACCATCACACTTTTCACTCCCATCGCAAATCTCTTTCTTCCAAGAGAAGCATGCAAAGGCACTTACTTGAGCAGGTCTTGAGATCCTCGTTGATGAGGAAGCCTTCCGAGCACTGGCAGACGTAGGACTCCCCAGTGTTCAGGCACAGCTGCTCACAGCCGTGGTCCTTCTCCACACAGTGATCCACCCCTGTGTTTGTCACGTGGAAACATAAAGTGACTGAGGGGGCGAGGCCACAGTGACAGAACTAGCCACCCAGACCGCCCTCAGGGGAGAGAGTTCCTGAGGGGCCATTTTACTTCACTGGTGAAACTGGCCACAGGGAAGGCTTCATTCTACCCTGTGTCACTGGCCTCTCTGGAAAGTCAGCCTTGTTCTTTTTTTCTGCCATGTTCTTGTTGGGAGAGGGAAGCACCTACAGTTCCTGTCACTGGTGTTATTAACAGCAGTACTGAGCACCAGGGCCTTGGCACACATCATCTATAATCCTCAGGACCACCCGAGAGCAGGTACCATCCCTCTGCCACTGAGGGGAGAGTGGGGTTCAGGTTCAAGTTGCCTGCCCAAAGCCACACAGGTGGCAGAGCAGTGCTTAAAAGTGAGGGTTCCACCTCCACCACTTCCTAGCCAGGAGATACGGGGCGGTCACTCAGCCCCTCTTGGGTCATCATTTCCGCACTTGAGAAAACAGGATGTCTGCTTTCTGAGGGCAATGTGGTGAGAAGTGGAGGAGTTGATACATGTTAAGCCTTCAGAACAGTAGCCAGGAACAATAGCTGGCATACAGTAACCACTTAATGATGCTTCTTATTATTAATATTTTTATTATGTAGTGCTGAGTAATTTTCATTACATAGTTTCATTTCTTCTATATCTGAAAACACCACCTCCACATTCAGAAACAAACCAAAATCTGGGCCTGCATGTTTGATTGATCGCCTGGGTGATGGGCACTGAAGGAGCCTGAACACAGCTGTGGAGGTGCAATCCCGCAGACAGTGCTGCAGGCTGCTCCCAGATTCTGTGAAGGAGAAAATGCGCCCCCCACACCCCCAGGCTGCAGAGACACTGGAGGCCTTGTGCAGAACCATCAAGTGGGCCTCTTTTACTCCCACGGTGTCTGGCACTAGGACTCCAGAACATTCCACTGGTAGATGTGCCTACTGCAAATACTTGCAAGATCTTAGGAGCCAAGACGTCTGCATTCTCATCCTGGTTTCTCCATTCATCAGTCATGTGACCCTGAGAAAGTTGCTTCATCTTTTTGTGCCAGTTTCCCCATCTTTATATAGGGTGAGAGTGTAGATGCCTCACAGGGCTGTCACCAGGATAGAGTGAGTGCTAGGACAGTGCTCACAGCAGTGCCACACGGAGTGAGAAACTTATAAGGGCTGGTTGCCAAATGGCCTGGAGGTACCCTGATCCCTTAAGGGGAGTATGACTTTCTCTGGGGATTCTTAGAAACAAATGGCTTAGTTTATACTTTCTTAAAGCTGATTGGGTGGTTTTCCTCATTAGATCCTAGAGAGAAGGGATGGTCTAATCTCCTTTGACCTCCTCCTCCAAGCTTTCCAAAGTTCCCCTAAGGCATGCTGGGAGGGAAAGGCAGGCCATGACCCCATGGGGCCCTAGGTGGACTCAGCTAGGTCATGTCCAATCTGCTCTGTACCATTAGCTGGCAGAACCCACCCACACTCCTAGAATTACACAGAACCAGGGTATCTCCACATTGATGGAAGTCCTCCTGCTACACACGCCTCTCATAAGGACTCCTTGACTTTTGCACCAACTTTTGGTTCAAAGGTCTTTAGCCTCCAAAATCAGTCCTTGGAAAGCAAAATTGAGGTACTTTGTTCTCTCTAAAGAATGAAGGGGCATGGGTTTTCCTGAGAACTGCTCTGTACCTAATACTTCATCTGTGAAACTTCCTTTCCTGGCAGTGTAGGGTCCATATGCTGAACAGCTGCACTGTTCTCACTCACAATCTATCTCTGTCCCCAAAGCTGGAACAGATGTGTGCCTTGCTGGGTGGAAAGCCACACAAAGGGCCCCTTCTACACCAGTCATGTCACCAAGCCCCTCTCCCAGCACATCAGGGTCACAGGCACCCCCCCTCAGCACTCATGCACCCACCCCCACCCCTGCTGGCCTGGACCAGTGGAGACTGTGCCTCATAAAAATTGATAGAACCGTCCAGCTGGCAAAGCCTACAAGTTTCCATGCGTTTACATCACCAAATGCAGCCTTGTTGTGAATCTTACATGAGAAAATTAAGAAAAGGCTTCACAAAAAGCACCATGTTTCTCAGCTGTGCCCTCAAATCAGCCAAGGGCTTTCTGAGTTCTGTCCCTTTTCACTTCTTGTCTCAACCAGGGGTAGGCCTGGTCATTTTTCCCAGGCACAAGGACAGGTAATGAATGAACTATTATCCTTAATTGTATGCTTTCCTGGTGCCAGCCAAGCGCTAAGAGCTTAAAATGGTCCTGATTATCCCCCTCAACAGCCCTAACAATCAAAACTATTTTTAAACAGATGTGGGAAATGACAGCCTGGAGAAGTCACACAATTTGCCCAAGGTAACACATCTAGTGAGAGGTAGAGTTTGGACTTGGATTCAGGCTGGTCTGACTTCGTCAATGTTCTCAACAGCAAATAATACCGGTTTCTGTATAGTGAGTGCTTATTACATGCCTAGCAGTACTTTTCCAAGAGCTTTATAGGTAATGAACAAGGTAGTATTAATAGTCCCATTTTATGGATGAGGACACTGGCAAGGAAGGCAAAGCCAGCTGGAACAGCCAGACCATAGGAAACCCAGGAACCTCAGAAGTGACTGACGGCCAGTGAGCCTGGGGGCCTGCATATGCCCCCTGCCCTCCCTTCAGTGCCCCTGCCCCTTCATACTCACGGCTACAGGTCTTGCCATCAGGATCCAGGGTGTATCCCCGGCGACAGCGGCAGTAATAACCCTCCTCAGTGTTGACACACTCATGCTCACAGCCTGGCTTGTTCAGTGCACAGTAGTTGATCCCTGAGGGGAGAAAGGGCACACCCTCCTTCAGGCTCTGAACTTCTCCCAGGGCTATGAGTTCAGCCCCTCACTGTAATATTCAGTTAATAAGGTGCTCTAAGGACACAGAAATAATAGCTTCTGCTGTCTGGGAGCCTGTTTGGAAGAGAACCCGGTGTTTTGGCATGAACCTCCAGATTCTCCAGCATCGGTCTTTCTCCCCTTTGGGTTGAGGTCACAGTTCCAATCATCCTTTTCCAAGAAAGATGGAAACATTGAGCATATCTGATCAGCCCCTTATTTGAGTTAACCTGATTACTAGGGCTCATAGTAAGCAGGGGGCCGCTGTTTGTAGTGATATCTGACAGTGACACCAGCAACACAAACCAGAATAAACAAAAGCTAACCTTGCAAGATATCCAACTACTAGGGAGAGGCAGGAAATGGCAGTTACAGTAAGAAGTGTCCAGAGGCTGAACAGTGTTCTGGGTAAGATCATGATGCATCCACATTAAGTAGAGAGAAAATGCACCTTTGATGCTGCCCCAGGTTGTTACAGTTCTGTCCTATGGTAACATTCACCCCATCCAAGCTATGCTGCTGCAGCAGAGGGAATAGTAACCAGCAGCAAATTAGCCGTTTCATTTCTCAGTAGAAAATGCTACAAGCAAATGACCCCCGACAGAGCAGATTACAGGGCAGATGGAGAACTGTATAAAGAAACAAATCTGCATGTGGAAAGCGTTTAGAGACTGGTGTTGGGAGAAAAGGTCACTGACAACCTCAGGGGCTGAGCTGGATCAGTTTAGCTACATTTTCTTTATTCTGGGGTGTGGAAACACTGTTCATTGCTTTACCAACAATTATTACCCTGTCTTTTTGGTATTAGGACCCTGACCCTCAAAGCATGAATCTATGGCCAGCCTAAAATAGGCTGGCAACCAGGTGTCCCTTTGTCAGTGTCTGGTTTAGGAATGGGAATGTGCCCGAGTATTGGCCAAAGAGAAACAAACAGAAGCTTGTTGGGAACCCAAGGAAAAGACAAATATGTGTGAAGAGAAATGCCATTTTCTACCCTTTCCTTTCCTTTTGGATCTAGCAATGACAAGATAAGATGCTGGGAGCTCTTGTAGCCATGAGGATGAAAAGCCAACATACTTTGGTAAAGTAGGATAGAAAGCATCTGGGTTCTTAACAACATTACAAAATCACTGAGCCAACATGGGATAAACCACCTCTGACAGATGTAAATGTCCTTAAGTGACTTAGGACACCATTAATTAGATTTCCTGTTTTGTGTGACTAAAAAGCACCCTACTGATAGAGAAATGACCTGAAATGGTTAAAATGGTAAATTTTATGTTATATATAATTCCCACATTTTTTTAAAGATATCATTGTTTATACATCATGATTCTTTTTTTTAAAGATTTATTTATTTAGTTATTTATTTATTTAATTTATTTATTTATACAAGCACTGGGTACAGTCAGAAGCGCGGGAGGGTGAGAGAATTCACCAGAGCCAGAGCAGGGAGCAGAGCAGGCAGAAGGACCGAAGTACACTGCTGAGGGGAGCAGCGGGCGGCAGGAGAGGTCTGCGCACCATATGGGACCCTCCTCCGGTGGCTGGGAAGCAGCCGGGGATCAAACCGGCGCTGCAGAGGCTGCAGGCAGCTTCCCAACCCAGCGCTCAACCGCTGCGCCACCAGGGAGGCCCTACATCATGATTCTTAAAGAGGTTATCACTTGCTTGCAAAGTGCAAGCAAAAAAATGATTCTTCCAAATAGTTCCTTAGAGCAGAGGTTAACTGTAGATCTTCTTTACACATTTGAGTCACATTTCTTTGTGTATATATTAATTAGATATTCATTTACTCATTTTATTCATTTAACCAGTGCTTATTGAGTATCTACTATGCACCCCATATCTGGTTCAATCTCCTTACAAACTCTAAAATTTGGATGTAACTTCATATGGTAAGGCCCAGAGTATCCAGTAACCCCTTTCAAGGTCAGAAGGCAGAACTGTCAGATAACAAATGAAACAGCACCTCTGTGTATCAACTTACAAAAGAGTGGAGACCTCACAGAGAAAGTAAGATGAAAAAAATGGGAAAGATAAGTGAACTCCAGACAGTAAATTACAATGCCAATTGAGTGGCACAGATTGTAAGTTTCACAAAAACTGTACAGGCTACAAAATGTTGAAGCAGGAAGAGATCGTCCAGGGATCGTCCAGGAAATCCTGACCCAGAGAAGTAAAGCAGTCCATCCAAGGTCACACAGTCCATTTGAGAGACACTGCCAAGACTGGACCTCACGTCTACTGGCTCAGCCCCACCCCGGCTCTGCAGAGTGACTTGTCTCCTGCTACAGGGAGCACCAGACCTGGTGCCAGCATGAGCAATCCTGGAGCGAACACAGGGTCACGCCCACAGGGTCACACTCACATCTGATTCTACCCTGGGGCCCCACCTAGGCAGCCAGGCCCATCCCAGTTTCTGTGCTTGCACCGGCGCCTTAATAATTTATGCTTTACATCGATGACAGCACTTTCCAGAAGGAAAAACTGTGCCTGGATTAGGAGGAAGAACAAATCCTGGCCAAGAGTCTTTTCTTCAGTAGGATTCTGCCTTGCACTTTTTATTCCCACTTTAAGTGGATGACATCAAATTTCTTTTTAAAAAGACTACTTATTAGATTTGAAAATAGTCCACATCCATCAACTGGCTATTAAATGTAAATGACTGTACCCTGAGTTGAGGATTTGTAATGCTCTCGAGATCATTCAAGATCCTCAGACTCCTAGTAACAAACACCAGATTTTAAACCAAGTTTCTTTGTTTCTCTCTTCCACGTAATGCTCCAGAGAGACAATGAGCGCTTACTTCCATGAACAGCTGTCTGCCATAATGGACTGAGTGCAAACATTAAGTCAGGGGCAGCTCTTAGAGGCTGACCTCAGGAACCCGGGGCTGGGCTTGCAAGTGAACACAATGGAAAATGTAATGATGAGGCAGGGTGTTGGGAGAAGGGCTGATGAGGACAATGGATTTTAGGAAAAAATTGCATTTTGGGGGGATAAAAAAGTAGGGCACCTAGCTAAAGAGGGAATAGGGCTATAATCATTGAATATATATATGACTAAGTGGTACAGATACTGGACTGGACCACAGCCTGCAACAGACCCATCTGTAGGTTGATTTGTCAAACTACTGCCTGGGACCTTCCTGATTCCAGTGCCTCTCCAGGCAGGATGTGGAGGGAATCACAGATGATGGATAAGAGATTCAGAACTTCAAGCAAATTCCCCTTCACAGGTGGCCACATGACTAACTTGTTTCCTTTTCCCTCCCTTAGGAACACACAATGAAGCTTGCAACCATCATGAGTGTCTGGGTTGAACTAGATTCAATTTGCCCCCATATAAGAGCTTTTGGTTTATAAACATAAGTCCACCTGTAAGTGGTTTTCCCTGGGTGTAGTCAGTCACCGACACTCATCCCTAGAAAAAGGTGTAAATAGCACAAAAGGGAGGCAACCAGGCCAGAAAAATTGACTCTCCAACATATTGGATGCATGTGTGGTCTAATGGAAAGCACTCCATCTAATTGTTTTCATATTTGGAAAGCTCCCAAATAAAATCTTCAGTTACTGTCTCCAGATTTACATGCAGGGAAGGAGTGGGAATTATCTCTTATAAGAGAGGCTCAGTTTCAAAATATCTGCTGTGCAACCACCTGCCAACATACAAGAACTAACATACTAAAATAAGTATATAAGTATGTGCTATTAGTAGAACGTGACCTGTCTGGATTCAGTTATACAGCCAGCAGTGCTTTTCAAAAGAGATAGATGGTCAAACCTTTGAAAATTCACTGTAATGATGCAGAACATAACTGTGTATAATATCAGGAAGGAGCGGGTGGAGAAGCAGATAGGAAAATGCATCCTTAAATGGGCTCTCTAGAGAGTTCTTTGAACAACACTGTTGGGAGAATACAATTCAGTATACACAGTATGTACTATGGGAATACATTTTTGAAAAACTTCACTTGATTGCCTTAAAAGGACCATCTTTTCTAACATGTTTGAGTAATTCAAATAATAGTTGCAATTTCTCCAGGATGATAAATCTTAGGGCAATTCATCTGTTCATTCATTCATTCAGTAAATATTGGGTTGTGCCTACATATGCCAAATACTCTTAGACATATTGGGGATTCAAGACTGACAAAGACAACAAACCACTGTCCTTGTGGACCCTCCATCCTGTGGTCTCTCAGAGGTAGTCTGGTAAAGAGATCCTGGTCAAGTCCTTTGATATACCCAATGACCAGCATTTGAGTCAATTACTACATCCTTGCTATCACCTAGCTGACAACATCTATGCTTCAGGGATGCCCCCAAGTCCTATTTGCCATCTTCACATCAAAGAGGACAGAGCTGCAATTCCCCCCCTCCCCCTTACTAGCCATCAAATATCTTGTAATACTGGAAGAAATCCACTTCTATGCCTTCCCATCTCCAGGATCAGTCTTTCCTTCCTAGAAATCCCAAAATTCATGTCGTGGCAGGTAAAGAGGAAGGAAAGCACAACTTCCCCCGCCCCCCACCTCATTTCAGACAGCTGGAGCCTCAGCTTGAGTTTCAAGTTTGCTACATGAATCCAGTGAGTAAACCATTGTATTCATTCACTCTAAATTATCCCCACCACAGGATTAGGTGAACCAAAAGGTAAAATAAAGGGCAGAATGATGTTAATAACCACAAATGTTGAGTATCCAATATGCCTTGCTGAGAAGTTGCAAATAAAAGGAAAACTAGCAGGACATTAAGCAGAACAAACCCTTCTCCTATACCCACTGCAACTTACTTTTGCAGGTTTTCTTATCAGGATTCAGAGTAAAGCCTTTCAAACAGCGACAGGAATAGGAATCGCCTGTATTAACACACTCATGTTGACATCCATGATTTGGTGAGGCACAGAAGTCTATCTCTGGAGAGAAAGAAAAATGAGAATAATGAAGAATGGAACAGTAAGTCTAGGACAGAAAAACCAAGGGATTTCCAGTCTTAATTTTTCCTAAACGGATACATTCCCATGATTTCTTATTCATGCTATCAAGGTGAAGCTATTTCCATATTTAGGGATATGCAAGAGAACTTTCTTGCCATGTAACAAAATGTATATGCAACAAATGAATTTGGGAAGATGCTTTCCTTGTCTTGGATATTGTAAAAGTCACTAAAATGAAAGCACATGATGGGCATTTGCCATATTGCAGGCTGGAAAAAGAGAGCTAAGCTGAATATTTCATTGAATTTGTTCAGTTAAAACAATGAAATCTTTCCAAAGTCAAACTCCAAACCACTTAAACATTTGTTGTTGCTGGTCTTTTGACATGGGCTTTGGTGTTGCTTATCAACATCACAGAGTGTCCTATTGGATAGCAAGAGTCTGCAACATTTCCATAGCCTCTTTGTATTTTATGACATTACCATTTTTAAAATATTTATATATTTATGCATACAAGAACTGGGGTACAGGGCAGAGGTGTGGGGGATGAGAGGATTCACCAGCGACAGAGTGGGGAACAGAACAGGCAGATTGACTGAAATACACTGCTGAGGAGAGCAGTGGGTAAGTCAGGAGAGATCTGCTGCACCATGTGTGTAGCTCCCTGGCTGGGGATCCAGCTCGTGCTGCAGTGGCTGCCAATAGCTTCATAGATTGTGTCTAAACTGCTTGTGCCACCAGAGAGACCCGACATTACCATTTTTAAATAAAATAGTCTCCCAATTTTATTTTTATTGAGGTATAATTGACAAAAAGAAAAATGCATATATTTAAGATAAACAATTTGATCAGCTTTCACATACGTCTGTCCCATAAAGCAATCCCCATAATCTATTTTATAATATACGTATTACTTACCTCACGCCCTTTTCCAATTCATTCCTTCCCACTCCCTCTGACCCCAAATAACCATTAATTTTCCATCTGTCAAAATAAGTTAGCTTGTATTTTCTGTTTGTTTTTTATCTTTTAGTTTACATTCTAGAATTTTATATACATAGAATCATTAATATGATTCTAATCATACTAATCATTCTAATCATACTAATCATTAGACATGTCTTCTTTTGATCTGGCTTCTTTTATTTATCATCATAATTATTTTCAGATTCATCCATGTCACACATGTTCATATTTTATTTTTTACTGCAGAAGAGTATTTTATTGTATGGATATAGCACAATATATTTAGTTGCTGGCCTTCTGGTGGGACTTGAGTTGTTTCTAGTTTTAGGTCATCAAAAATAAAGTAGTTATGAAGAGTCACATATGAGTCTTTGTGTAAACATATGCTTTCATTTTTCTTGAGTAAATATCTAGGAGTAGAATGGCTGGGTCATATGGTAGGTGTATGCTTAACTTCTTAAACATGCCCACAAGCAATTTATCAGAGTTCTAGTTGCTCCACCTCTTTACCAGCATGGTAGTTTTAACCATTCTGGCTGACTATCTTGTGGTTTTATTTTGCATTTCCCTAATGACTAATGCTGTTGAATATATTTTCACATACTATTTGTCATCTCTGTATCGTCTTTGGTGAAGTGTCTGTTCAAATTTCTTGCCCATTTTCATTGGGCTCATTGTCTCCTTATAACTAGAGTTTTATATATGTTCTAAATACAAATCTATTGTTGGGATATATATTCTGAAAATGTTTTTTCCAGTCTATTTCTTGCCTATTCATTTTAGTAATAGTGTCTTTTTTTTTTTTAAAGATTTATTTACTCATACAAGAACTGGGTACAGTCAGAAGCAAGGGAGGGTGAGAGAATTCACCAGAGCCAGAGCGGGGATCAGAACAGGCAGACTGATGAAACACACTGCTGGCGAGCAGCGGGCACAGCAGGAGAGGTCTGCGTGCCTTGTGGGACCCTCACCGGTGGCCGGGGCCTTTTAAAGAACTTTATGCAGTTCAAATTTTTTTATCATTTTGTACTCATTTCCTTGTTATGATCACTTACTTTTCCTATGTTTACTTCTGAATGATTATAGTTTCACTCTTATGTTTAAATCTAAAACTAAGTGAATTACTGTATGTGGTGTAAAGTAAGGGTCAAGGACTTTTTTTTTTGATATATGTTGCAGTACCATTTATTGAAGACAATTTCCTTTCCCCCATGAATTGCCCTTGCACCTTTCTTAAAATTCATTTTATCATATATGATAAGACGATAAATGAAATAAGGAAAAAATTTTTTTCTAGCATATTAGCAAAAATTTAAACATATCACTTTCTCAAAATACTTGAGAGGTAGAGTACAAAGTAGAAAGATTTTTGGAAAATAATTTTGCAATATATGTCACAAAACTAAAATGTTAATAACCTTTGACTCAAAAAGTTTAGGTTTTGTTCCTAAGAAAATGATCAGAAATGCAGATTTATGGGCAAGAATACTGATCACAAAACAATCTGAACAACCAAAAAAACTGTTGAACAAACTGTGATTCTATATATGATAGACTATTATGCAGATATTAAAATGTTTTTGATTATAAAAAAATGTTTTTGACATGTGAAAATGGTCATGATTTAATGTTATGGTATATGAGCTCAACTCTAATAAATAACTGCATTTTTTTTTAAATGAGAAAAATAGAGCAAATTGGTATAACAAAAGTTATCTCTAAAGGTAAAGTTATAGACCATTTCATCTTTCACAATTTCATTTCTATATGATGCAGCTTTTTTTTCAACAAGAATATGGGGCTTTGTCATTAGAAAAAGTATTAAAAAAAGTATGCACATTTATAATTGTGAAACTAGTTGCCATGGAAAACAGCAGAACTATAGAGAAAAGGACAGTGTGAGCAGTCCCTCGTAACTTGGAGAAGAAAATTATCAAGGAACATTTCTGGGAACAATATGTATAGCTTCAGATGCCTATATCCAAATTACAAAATTGAGCAACAGAACAAAATCAGTTTGGGATCTCAATATGAAGAAATCAATATGAGCTCATTGGTATTGCTGGAATTTGGGGAGATGTGGAGCAAATGTATGACTGACAGGGATGGGTAATATGCTTTTTGGGCCATAATGCCCACATCCACTTCTCTCACTCTGTTGTAGTCACATGGATTTCCTTGCTGTCCCTCAACACTGCCAGGCCTCATGTTTCCTGCCTCAGGGACTTTGAACTAATGTTATGCTTCCTCTGCCTCTGAGGTCTCCTCCCACCTACTTCCTTCAAATCTCTGATCAAATGTCCCTTTCTTTTTGAGACCTGTGTTCTTCTCTTACTTTGCTCCAGTAAAATGTAAGCTCCACAAATGCAGAGAGGTTTTTTGTTTGTTTGTTTGATACATTTTCCATTTGCATGCCCAGTGTCTACAATAGCATCTGGCTTATAGAAATATTTGTTAAGTGAATAAGTGGTTGTCAGTACTACCAAAAAAGAAAGAAATTTTTTATTGCTGAGTAGTAGTCCAATGTGTATATACCATATTTTTATTCACTCATCTGTAAAGGCTACTTTGGTTGTTTCCTTGTAAATAGTGTAAATAGTGCTGTGAAAAACATAGGAGTGCATAGATCTTTATTTAATTTTTGGACAACATACGATTTCTCCCCACAGGTGTGATCACTATACACTTGATCTTAGCCAAAAGGCCGAGAAGCAATAGGGTGTGATGACTATAGTTTTATAGCACCTATAGTCCCATCACCATAGTTCCTTGTGTGCTCTCTCACCTTCATATATCTTTTTGAATTAGTATTTTTATATTACCTGGATAGATAACCTAGAAGAAATTGCTAGATCATATGGTGGATATCTTCTTAATGTGTTGAGAACCTCCACTTGTTTTCCATAAGGGCTAACAGTGTAAGAAGGTTCCTCTTATTTTACATCCTTGCCAACATATGTTGTTGCTGGTCTTTTTTTTTTTTAAAGACTTATTTATTTTTTATTCATTTATACAATCACTGGGTACAGTCAGAAGCGCAGGAGGGTGAGAGAATTCACCAGAGCCAGAGTGGGGAGCAGAGCAGGTAGAAGGACCAAAGTACACTGCTGAGGGGAGCAGCGGGCCGCAGGAGAGGTCTGCGCGCCATGTGGGACCCTCCTCCGGTGGCCGGGGAGCAGCCGAGGATCGAACCAGCGCTGCAGAGGCTGCGGGCAGCTTCGCAATCCAGCGCTCAACCTCTGCGCCACCAGGGAGGCCCATTGCTGGTCTTTTTGATGTGGACCATTCTCACAAGTGTGAGGTAATATCTCATTGTGGTTTTAATTTGCATCTTTCTGATAATAAGTGAGTGTTACATGAGTATTTTCTCATGTATCTGTTGACCACCTGTGTATCATCTTTGGCGAAGAGTCTATCCAGATTTTTTTCCCATTTTTTTTTTTGATTGGGTTGTTTTCTTGTTGTTGAGTTTTATGAGTTCTTTATACATCTTGGATGTTAGTGTGATGTGCAAATATTTTCTCCCACTCAGTAGGATGTCTTTTGTTTTAATGATAGAGTCTTTCGCAACAATTAAAAAAAAATCTCTTAACAAGCAGCAGCAACCAAGCTGACTTGGCTGGAAACTGATGTGATGCCTCCTTAATGACTGGATTTTGGGCTTCCACCTCCATCCTGTGTTTCTATCATTGTAGCCCCCTAGCTTCCAATTCTTGCTCTTGTCGCTGTCACACATGTGGCGCACTCCCAAGTGACCCAGTTCTTACAATCCAGCTTTTGCCTCATTTCCTACTCATAGCTTTCCAAGCACTGGAGGAGTCTCCTTTCTCTGGCAGTCCCCACCCAGGTCTGGCTCTTTGCCCTGCCTCTATGCATGGTGGGAAGGAGCCCTTCCTCTGGGGAACCTATCTCCCTGATGCTGTTGGCCCAGATCCCTGTGGTTGCCCACCACTCCTTGCCCACATGTTCGATAAGCCCACCTCTGGGTCTTGACCCAGACACAGGTCTTGACTCAGACAAGGCCCAGAGACACCTGAACTGTTGGGAATAACTCACTGCTGGATCAGTACCTCCCCTGACTCCCAGCCAGACCTCCTCTTCCAGTCTCCCTACATGGCAGTATCTTCTTCCTTGGTCTTCTTGCTGCACTACACTGGGGTTTGTAACTTTCCATGTCCCAAGAGATTCTGGGATAGGAGACATGCTAAACCATACTATGGGGGCAATAGTGAGGCTCTGGAAACTGGAGCTGGCACTGAACAGGTGACTCCAGCCAGGAAGGGAGCTCCATAGAGGCAGGAAGAAGACTGGACAGGTCAAGTGTTTTCCTCCAGGACTCAACCTGGGAGGCAATGCCATCCCCACCTGTTCTAGTATAAGTGGTCTTCTCCTTTCCTAACTCCTGCTGTGGGTCTTGTCTACATCTCACTGTGGCCATTGTAGTCATATGTCCCTTGCATGGTGACTGAGCTGTTCTGTGTGGCTTGTGTCCCCCAGCAGCCTCCAATGGAAGCTGTGGCCAAGTCTGGAATTGTTTATGCACTCAAAAGCTTAGTTTGAACATGTGGAAAATGCTCAATAATATACCCATTTAAAGTCTTTGAAGCCAGTATCCTCCCTTATACTAAGTTACTTGCATCAGGCAATTTCTAAGTGGTATATATGGATTATCTCATTCAGCCTTTAAGAAAATGCTGTGAAGTAGGTAGTATTATCATCGCTATTACAGGTGAGGAAACTGAGGCATAATAACTTGCCCAAGATCACCCAGCAAAAAAGCAGAGTTGCTGAGATTTGAACTAAGGCCAAGGCTGCCTCTTGGCAGCACATGAGAACTGACTCAACAGTCAAGCAACCACAACTCCCCAGCATTACCACATTGCTGGTTTATGGTTCAGACAGACAGGAAAGGAGACGAGGAACAAACCATCCATCCATTCATTCACTTATTTTCTCAATAAACAACTGCCTGCCAGTAATGTGCCAGGTGAGGTTATGAGCCTGTCTGGTATCTTTGCAAATCTTTCATCTCAGCACTCCCACCTCACCCTTCTTTGCCTGGAGAATGATAGCCGTGCCTTCAACAGTCAGCCAAGATATCTCCTCTTCCAAGAAGGACCTAGCCCTATTCATTTCCACTGGCACATGGTTAGGGCTCCAGATGTGTTTTTGAATTAATGTGCCACTTACCATTCCATACTCCACCCCTGACTCCAGCTCTGATGTTTGTAAGTTTTTCATATTTAGGGATTGAAGAAAAATTTTACATTTCAGGAGGTTTGGGGATGCTTTTTACAAAATTGTGTAGGTGTATCTAGCTATGCATAAATATATTTTTAAAGGTTATGGGTGCATGAAGTTTTTATGAATTGAAATCAGATTATCTGATTGATTCATGTGTAGATGTTTTATTTATTGCCATCAAACCCTACTTTTAAAAATGCTAATACTGGCACTCCCTGGTGGTGCAAGGGGTTGAGCACCGCACTATGAAGCTGTCCACAGCCTCTGCAACATGGGTTCGATCCCCATGTTGCGAAGCAGAACTCTCCTGTCTCGCCCACTGCTCCTTTTAATAGGGTATTTCAGTCAGTCTGCCTGCTCTGTTCCCCACTCTGTCTCTGGTGAATCCTCTCATCCCCTGCAGCGCTGGCCTGTGCCCCAGCTCTTGTATGCATGAATAAATAAATCTTTTAAAAAAAAAATGCTAATACTTTAAAAACAAATTTCTGCCCAGGGAACCACTCTGTGGGAAGTTATCGATCTATACATTACTCCTTGTATGTTCTGACATTCCTTTACATTTAAAGGAATGCATTTGGAATCTGTTTATAAAACTAATGATCACTTTTACTTTGTAGATTTGTATGGTCTGATTTGGGGAGATCAAATAGTTTCTGACTTGTATTGTATTCAATTCAAATCAAATAAAATGGAGTAGCTCAAACAAAATATGAACAGCAATCTGCAAACCATCCTCCCTCCTCTCACCCTTCCTACCTGGGAGCAAACACATTTAACTCCTTTTGGCTCAGCAGTTTTCCTGTACTTGCGTGGAATCTAGCTGAAACCTACAAGCCACAAAGCCTCAATGAAAAAATTTCCTTCCTAAGCCCTGTTAATACTGATGGTCACAGAGGCTGAGCCAGCACGAAGGGAAATGGTCAGATCATCAGTACGTGTGGCAGATGTAGGAAGAACACACCCATGGATGTTGCTGATCAAAGACACCTTCGTGAACTGCCTCGAGGCTGATGCTGAGGTAGAGTGGGCCATAGTATTAGGGCTGGTTAAGGAAGGTCTGACAAAGGAGGAATAGGGACAGAAAGTACTAGATCCCTACACATAATCATATACTAATCTATGTTGGAAAATTCCCCTGGCCACACTACTCATAGCAATAGCAACAGATGTTTGCTTTTGTTTTTATTTTGCACATAACTTACTTGTGCATGTCTTTTTATCTGCATTAAGAGCAAATCCGTTAGGGCACTGGCAAAAGTAGGAGTTGTCAGCATTTACACATTCATGCTCACATCCGTGGTTTTCTAAGGCACAGTAGTCCACAGCTGTAGAGAAAAAAACACAGAATTTAAGTAGAACTGCAAACACAGGTGAAATGGAAGCATATTTATAACAAATATAAATATGCATTAATATTGTTGCCCCCAAAGGAGTATGGATAAATAAACATGAATCCAAGGCCTATTTTCCACAAAAGGAAGGAAGAAAAGAAGGAAAGAGGAAGGGCGAAAGGGAGGAAGGAAGGAAGGAAGGAAGGAAGGAAGGAAGGAAGGAAGGAAGGAAGGAAGGAAGGAAGGAAGGAAGGAAGGCAGGCAAGAGAGAGGAAGGAAACCAGCCAGCCAGTAATCCAGATTTATTTATTTCAGAAGTTAAATTACAGAACATATGAACAATTATACTTAAAAGTTAAAGAAATACAAATCAAAACCATCACAAAGAACACCTAATAAGCTACAAAAATAAAGCTAAGATAAAACCCACTGGTGTAAGGCAGCATGCAAAGAGAGTCATTAATGGTGGGTGGTATTATAAATTGATAAAATCCTTTTGGAAAGAAATTTGACAATTCTCACCCTGGAAATGTGACCCAAAGAAATAAATGGGGAAGAAAGGGAAAATTAACTACATGCACAGTGATTTTACTTAGGTGACAAAAATATTCAGGAAAATAAGATGAATATTTTATAAGGATAAATGGCTTAGTAAATTTATGGGAAATATTCCACAGATATTTACTGAGCATCTACTCTGGGTCAGGCCCTGATTTAGGCACTAAGAACAGAACAAACAACAAAACAGACAAAAATTCCAACCCTCGAGGAACTTACATTTGGATGGTGATGGGCAAGAAAATAAGACAAGTAAGTATATAGTCTCTTAGAAGGTAGAGCATGTTCTGCAGAGAAATAAAATGGCAACAAGGAACACAGACTGTGAGGCTGTGGATAGGGAGGTGCGATGAAATAGAAATTCGTGGAAAGTCCATGAGGTTATCTGGGATGGAGCATCCCTAGAAAAAGGAAGAGCAAGTGCAAGACCAGGAGGCTTTAATGGGCCTTGTGTGCTCTGTGTCAGCAGAGACATGGGGGTGACCAGAGCAGAGAGAGGGTGGTGTGAGATGAGAAGGGTGCAGACAAACAGGGGCTGTGACCATGGCAAGGACTTTGGCTCTTACTATGAGTATCCTGGGAGTCACTGGAGGGTTCTGAACAGAGGAGGTAAGAATAGACCATAGAGGGTAAATGTGGTAGTGGCTAGCCACCTAGGAGGGTATGACAATAATCCTAAAAAGGAACCATAGAGGCTTAAACCAGAATGGGGGTATGGGGAGAGTGCTGTTCTGGATTGAATTTTGTCCTCCCAAAAGATAGGCTGAAGTCAATCCAGGTACCTGAGAATGTGACCTTGTTTAGAAATACCTTTTTTTTAACTTATAAAAGTAAATGTTTGTTTTTTTTCTCACATAATTACATATATATATATATATATATAAAATGCTCAGCTCAAATAGTTATTTTTAAGAAAATAAATTTATTTAATTATTATTATATTTTTTATTTTATATATTTTTACATCATTTTTCATTTTTGCACAATGTATGCATTTTCATCATGGTTATAGTCCCCATACAATTCCCAACCCCTTGTTTTACTTTTTGCAGAAGTAATCAGGTGAAGCTGAGGTCATTAGGCTGGGCCTTAGTCCAATATGACTGGTGTCCTTCGATAGGAGGAAAACGTTGTGTGAGGACACAGACACACAGGGGGAACACCATGTGGCAACAGGTCAGAGTAAGGCAGCAGCCAGCTCAGGAATACTGAGGACCAACCGCTACAGGCATCAGAGGGAGGGGGTCATGTCTGGTGCCCAGAACCATGAGGCAATACATTTCTGTTGTTTGAAGTCACCTTGTGTTTGGTACACGTGTTATGGTAGCCCTGAGAATACACTGGGAATATATTGAAGGTGGGGCAAATAGGATTCCTGTTGATTTAGAGGTGAGCAAGAGAAAAAGAGGGATTAGGCTGAGTTTGAGTTCTCCCTGGTGGACTAGGGTTTAAGTCTGATGGCCCACAAGGACGGCCTGAGTTCTGAGTTTAATCCCCGGCCAGGGAGCTAACCCACATAGGGCACAGCAGATCTCTCCTGTTTTGCGTTTCTGATTACAGAAAGAGATCTATAAATCATTTGTTATTTTTTATATTTATATGTGTTATATACTTATTTATTTTAAAGAACAATGTTTTCGGTTATTTTAACATAGAAAACTACTAAATCATACCAAGGAAATAGAATCTGCAAAATTAACACATATGGACAATTTCTAACAAGGCAAAGCTGTGCATGGAGAAGATAATGACAGTTAACATAATAATGAAAAGATGTAAAGGGAAAAATTAAAGATTTTTTAAAGGGTAATTGCCAGCATTTTGCTTATTTCTTTGCTCTCAGTCTTCATTAAGTTTCTCTGTAAGGTATAATTTTTATAACTTCACCGCCCTAAAGAGTTATAATTTTTATAACTTCACCGCTTCCTAAATAGCACCTAATATCTATGGGTTTAATGCACAAACTGTCAAAGTAGGACAGGGCTCTCCTTAGCCCTGGGATGTGGATGTTGTGGGGTATTAGCTAGTTACTGCAGTTGAGTCATAACATGAATACTGAACTGGCACCAAATCCTTCAGAAGTTCACTGCTTACCTTTCAAGAAGCAACAGATCATTAAATAAATAACTGGGGGCACAGAGGATACTGAGATCAAGCATACCGAGCCCTGGCCTGTGCCCCTGTCTATGTGACAAGGAGTTGGCCATGCTGTGACCCACTGTTGCTTAAGCACTTGGCACTCCCCACCTCTACCCTCTTCATGCTGGACCTGAGCTGCCATCATGAAAATCTCCAGCCTCTGCATGGTTGTCGACCATCTGTCAGCCAGTCTTGTCTCTAGTCACCCACTTCTTAGTATCCCCTCCAAAGAAAGAACCTGCTAATCTGACTTTCAATTTCTAGGACACTGAGAGTATAACAGTGATGAGCAGGCAGGTAACTATCCTAAAATATAGAAACTCGGATTTGACTTCTTCTCTCTTGAATTTCCTCTTGCCCTCTATGGGGTATAAAGCTAAGCTCAGTCATCTCTGTCCCTTAGAGAGACCCTGAGTATGTTGGCCCCATATGAGGCCAGAGAGAGGTTGGAGGCTTTGCTTAGGCATATATATATATTCCAAATTCCTTTTTCCAGAATGTTGTAGAACAGAATATCTGATACTGGATCAGACATTAATAACGTTGTGAAGAAGAAGCTCTTTTAATTGACCTCCACATAACTAATTCCTGATCAATCAGTGCTTTTCATTCTCTCTGAAAAGATGGGACCTGATACGGAGAACACGAAAACACTTTGGCCTGTCAGAGGGCCAGTGCTGTGGGTCACCTGTGTGCTTTTCTCATACCATCTGGGCACTCTGTTTATAAAGCAGGCTTGGTAGAACACCTGAGTTCTAGAACAGCAGTGTACTTTTCCCATTGACAGATTATATATTTCTAAAGCATTGGTTCTCAAAGTGTTGTCTGTGAACCACCTCATCAATCATCACTTGAGAACTTAGTAATGCAAATTCTGGAGCTCCACCTCAGACCGACTGAATTAGAAATTCAGGATGTGAGGCCCAGGAATATGTGTTCTAACAAGCCCTTTGGGTGACTGATGTACATTAAAATTTGAGCACTGCTGTTAAAAGCAAGTTTTGTTTCCAAACCTATATATGCCATTTGTTCAAGTACTTACATAAATGGCATTTACACTAAGTGCCAAATAGTACTCTTATAAGTATTAAAACACTAATTTTTTAAAAAACCAATGAAGTATAAACATTAAACCAAAGTGAGTTTTTTTTTTTTTTAATAAAAAAGTCAAAAGAGTTTTAGAGATTGAAGGTATTTTGCTAACCAAAACTGCTAAGAATCAGGCATGGATAAAACAAGTTTAAAAGATTGGGGAAATTTTCTGGGGTCTCCCTGGTGGCACAAGGGGTTAAGTCTCACCACTATCAAGCTATCACCAGCCACTACAACATGAGTTCTCTTCCTGGCCAGGGAGCTACCCATATAGGGCAGCAGACTTCTGTCTTCTCCTGTTAGCAGTGTATTTCAGTAAAATCTGCCTTTTCTGCTCCCAACTCTGTCCCTGGTGAATCCTCTCACACCCCAGCCCCCCTGCACCTCTGGCCCATACCCCAGTTCTTATATGCATAAATAAATAAAAATAAATCTTTAAAAAAAAAGATTGGGGAAATTTTCATTAAAAATTTACAAAGATTCTATCCATAAATTGCCTTAGAGAAGGTTTCAAATTCTTGTTCCAATTTAAAGGAACCAGAATTAGAAATCATACACAACACATTATGGGTTTGGTTTACACAAGAAATATTTTTTAAAAAAACATTTTTTTCCAAATGAAACTAAAATTAACAATTTTGGAAAATGCAATTAAGAGTAATTTTTATTAAAAGTACATTTATGCAATTTCAATGAAAATAAAATGGTTTAGGTAGGTTTCCATATACAGTTTTTTGTGATTCCTTTCTTTTGATGACATTGTCTATCAAATTGGCCAATGAGAGGGTCCCCTGCACTTCAATTCTTGTGCCGGGTTTTGTGTGTGTGTGTGTGTGTGTGTGTGTGTGTGTGTGCATAGCGCTCTAGGGAAGTGAAGGGAAGAGGAAAGACTGGCAAGGAAGGTGTCAGGCATTCCCGGACCCCAAGATCCTGGCTAGTAAAACCCCAATGTATCAAATCCCACCTTGACTTGAAGACTACCTGCCAGGTCCCTGCCAGCCTCCAGAGACAGCAAGTGATTTGGAGAAGCCCACATCCAGGAAAGTGAACTTAAAAATTTTGAAAGGTCAACAGAGTTCTCAGTCCATTCAACTCTGACATCCTTTGCTGCATGTTTTGGGTTCTTTGCATAACTTCCTTGGTTGCAAAATTGTACTTGTAAAAAGAGAGACCAAAGTTAGTGGACAGATGTATAGAGGAGACAC